TTTTTTCATACTAATTATTCAACTTTCATTATTGTTATTATATAAAGTACATACAGTTATCTCGTTAAATTCGTTGAAATGTTTATGGCTATTAAAAAAAAATTATCATTTGCCTTCGTATAGCATATGCACGTGCAATCACTGAGCGTGACTCGTTTGCACCGCTTTACGCGAAAATGAAGGAGCAGAAGCGAAAGCGTTTGCTAGTCATCGAAGGATCCACGAGTCACGAGCATTTAAAGGGCAGGTTTGCAGTTTGGGTCTTGCCGTTTACCTGATACACGTATACGGAAAAATTACGCGTGTAGTGGTACGCCGTTCAAACTACGCGCGCGGCTAGGTGTCGACTCGCAGGGAAGATGCGCCGACTGTCGGAATGTTACCGACCGAGTGAAAAAACGTCGACGATCGAAAGGGAGACCGGCCGAGAAGAGTGCCGACGGTAGGTAAGAGATCGACGGAGTAGGATACCGACGGAAAACGAGACCGACCGCGAATATAGAAACAAACTAGGAAAAGAATTGACAGTAGGTAACACGACTAGCCGAGGAGGCTTACCGACTAAAGGTAAAGGGACGAATGAGTAAGGACGCTGATCGTGAACGAGGAAATTCGTCGAGTGGAGTGGGAGGCGAGCGCCAGACTTTGACTATACCGGGTGGGGCACGAAAAGTGTTACAGAGCAATATCACTCAAACTATCGATCATATCTAAAAATGTTTCATACAAAAGTTTCAGTGTTTGAGAGGGCTGCCATACTGGCGCATCTTATTTTTTTCTGGTGGAGGCGCTGAAGCTACGCTAAGGTTAACTCCACTTTTTCAAATGGAACCTTCAAATGGGGTATTATTTTCAATAATAGTCGATTGACGTTTGACGCGTGTTTGTTTCACTGTACCGAAACGACAGAAAAGGTCAGCTAATCGCTTGAAAGCCATGTGTGCAAACGAGCCGCGTACAAATATTGGGCGTTTCTATAGTATTCACGGCACTCCCCTAGCACCATCAATATATCAAAAGCATCTTGAAAATCGTTCATTTTCGCGATCCGATGTACTCACATTAGAAGGTAATGCGTAACTAACTGATATGTCAACAGAAAATGTCTACTTGCAGCCGACAAGTTTCATTATAAAGGAACAGAGGAACAGGTTTAGGACTAACAATCCACCATTAAAAATTAAATAAAATCTTGTAATAATACTAAAAGAATTCACATTGAAATTTACATGAATCAATTTTTTAAATAAGTTATTTACATCGAGATGTGAAACGCGTTTCTTGTATACATTAAATGCAAAAATTAATTAGTAATGAAAATATCATAAGCAATCAATCGAAATCTAACGATGTACGACGATTGCTAAATATTAGACATCGATAACATTGATATTAATAATTAGACTGCGAATTTCTATGCAAAATCACATTTTGACAAATGTAATCCATTTATACAGATTTTACATTCTTATAATTTCATGATACGAAATATACATCAATCGTTTTATATATTTTCGGTAATTGTATAAAATAGGTGCATTTTCTTTCACGAAGATTTTCTCTAATTCCATGAAAATCCGCAGTCTATTGATAACATTTATTGTCAATCGACCCATTTTGATGTTCGTTGTTCTAATTGACCCTGTTCATTGATTAATGTCGTAGGAATGTAGCAAATCATGGGCGTTGTGACGATGGTCCCTTCAAATAGATTCCGTTTAACACCGCACTGTGCGTCCAACTTCCTATATCTAAGTTTCCGAGAGTCTAGGATCGGGCACAGTTCAGTTTTTGATCGTTGTGCGCATCTCAATGCTTTACCGTGTATACTGAACCGTATGGAGGAGGCTCGCTGCGACCCCCACAACCTTCCAAGCTGCGCGAAACGCTCCTAGACTCTCGGGAACTCAGGTATAGTTGTTTTGCATGCATGCACGGTTGTCTTTACGTTGCTCCAAAACCCACAGCGATATTCGATAATAGTAACACAGATATTTTTGGGTGCACAAATAAGTCTCCGCCGTTTGAAATCAGATAACGCAACCAGTAAGTTATGGTAGGTAGTGTCAGATGTAAGATGTCATATCGTAAAGTTACACATTTGTCAACAACATAACATCGAAATATTAGCGACTGTGTATTTTTTTCGTGCGAAGATATCGAGTTTTGAGTCAAATAAATGTAATTTGCGGGAAGTTCTGATTTACTTCTTTAATTTGAAGAAATCTGCAGCTGAGGTGCATCGATTGCTTGTAGAAGCATGTGGTAAGGCTGCATTAAGTGAGAGAAGTTGTCGTGAGTGGTTTCAAAAGTTTAAGAACGGTGAATTTGATGTCGAAGACAAAGAACGTAGTGGAAGACCGAAAGTGTACGAAGATGCGAAATTGGAAGCATTATTGAATGAAAACGAATGAAATCATTACTGGAGCTCTCTACCGAACTCAGTTGATGATATTGAGCCGAGCACTCAAGGAAAAACGCGCCCATTATTACTCCAGATGCGACAAAATCATTCTTCTGCATGATAATACTCGTCCTCATGTTGCGCCGGACAAAACCTACTTGGAAACACTTAATTGGGAAGTTTTACCCTACTCGCCATATTCACCAAATATTGCTCCTTCTGAATACTACTTGTTTCGATCGATGACGTATGGTTTGTCTGAGCAGCACTTCACATCATATGAAAATACCAAAAATTGGGTCGATTCATGGCTAGTGTAAAAAAATGAAGCGTTCTTCTGACGCGGTATCCGGATGCTGCCAGAAAGATGGGAAAAAGCAGTGACCAGCGATGGATAATACTTTGAATAAAGCATAAGGTACGTTCTTTCGCAATAAATGCTCAATTTAAGATGAAAAACGGCGGGAACATATTTGTACTCAATAATGTTATATATATGTCTTCCCTTCACTCCTTGAGCTACCCTGATTTGCAATGACAATGATAGTGATTTTAATATAGATTAGTGTTAGTGTCAACACGATGTGTCGCTGTTGGTTCCTCTGACTCCTCTCGCGGTATCTCATATATATTTTTGTTGAACGTCAACTCATACAATAATTTTTGCGTTTCCACTCTAAATTCAAATTGTTTGTTAAGAGGGAGAGTTTTCACGTGTGGTAACAATGAGATGAAAAAGCACATATCATCGTCCTCTACATTGTACCTAAGTACTAGTTTCCCTTCTTCACTTTCAGATTTATCTTCCTCCATTTTCAATTTCTTAGCAGGTCTCGTTATAGCGATATCCGTGGCCGTTTCGTTTTGTAGAAATGGTTCATCTATTTCGGAATCATCGGAAATACAAACTACTGGTGGTACAGATTCAATTTTCTGACTTTTCCCTTGGTCTTTTAAGAATTGTAACCTCTTGAAAAACGGCCAGGTGGATTCAAACGAGTCAGAGCTGGTACCATCCCCTCTACTAACCTTTTCCCTGTCCAATTGCTTTTTGAACTCTTGTCGTAAGCTTCTCCACATTCTTCTGGCTTCTTTGCCTAAAGAAGAAATGAAACGAAATTGATTTTAATCAATTATTTTCAAGTATGTACAGTAGTCACCGGATATGTGGCCATTAGGGCTCTTACTATCTGAGAATTCGAGTATTCAGATTATTTATTTCTATTGGGAATTGACACATGGGCGGGATCAATAAATATAGCTAACTATCATGGCGACATGAAGCCAGGAATTATACTCGTGGTCCCGAGATTCTAGGACCGAACACAGTTCAGTTTTTGCAATTTTTGATCGTTCTACGCATGGTTTCGTCTAGTTCTACTGCTCGCCACGAGAGGTCATGGTAAATGTGTCAATTCCCAATACTGAACTGAACGGTTGGACAATTTGATAAGAAAATAAGTATAATGATCATCCTAATTTCTACTCCCTGGCTTATTTTTGTTTAAATTGTATAGGATTAAAATTATTAAAGGCATGTTTTAATGAATGATGTTTAGTATAAAGGGGCATACTATTTGACATAATAATTTTTTAAATTGTTAGGGATTGAAATTATCAATAAGACATTTTAATGAATGCTATTTAGTATAAAAAGAGACACTATTTTTTAAATGGGATTAAAGTTGAGAAAGAACCTGTTACAATGAATACTATTAAATTAAACATAAAATGTAGTATAAGTGGGCATAAATATTTGTAAAAGTACTAAAATAATTAGGAAAATTTTAAGATCATGTTACTATTTTTCAATGGAAGTCTTTATTCGTAAATCGAAAATACGATAAAGTTCGTCGAGAGGAAACGAACGACTTACTACAAAGTATCATCCCTTCTGCTAGGAATTAATTCATTTCTAATTTAATTCCTTAATCAAGTTCTAAATGAGACTGGAGAGAATCCTGTAATACAGAATAAATTACAGTCCTCGCAGTCTGATCTTTGAATCCTACAGTTTTAATGAAATCTGTTACTTCCATCCACTGTTAAAGAAGTATAAGAAAGAAACAAATACATAGGGTGTCCCAAATGAGAAACAAATTACAGTTTTCACTGCCAGATCTTCGAATCCTACAGTTCTAATGAAATCTGTCACTTCCATCCACTGTTAAAGAAACATAAAAAAGCAATTCTCTTCATTAAAAA